TCATCGTCGTTTCGTCGATCTTCGGCAGTCGTTGTTATGTTGCCACGCCCCCTGCTGCCAAAATGCAGTGAGGTTGTTCTGATCGCCGACTTGTCTAAGCGTGCTTCAGTCCCTGAGCAGTCTACGATGCCTTTGGCAACCCGAGCGAGGACACAGCCAGTAATACCATGAAGGGCAGGTGACTAAGTACCGAGACCTCGATACGGTTTCCATCCCTCCTACATCCTCATCCAGGCTTCTTTCCGGCAACGGTGAAGTGTGCACATCTGTGATTGGAATAGTATAACTGCATGAAGCTGCGTTTTTCGTAGTATAGTCATATTTGCATTAAATATCATTTATGCATATGCTTGAGTTAATTCAAAGGGAATATGTCCTTTTTTAGTTGAACTGTGTTCGAGTACTGTTTGTTAATGCCTGATTTTTTTCTGTGATCTAGAGTATTTTTCGGTTTCACGGTGAATTAAATTACATCGTTGCGTATCTGAATTGTCGCAAAGCGTTAAAATTGAGTCAAATTTCGATTTTCTTGTAATTGTAAGATTCTTGAAGCATTGGCATAATTTTTGGGTACAGATGTGTAAACTTTCACATGATCGTAAACACTGCATTTCACTCTCATTCTTTGGAAGTATTTCAGTCTAACTTAGATTTGCTGAAGTTGGAGAAATTCGACTTTGATTCTGTGGAAGGCGCGGAAGATGCAGTAGCTTCTCGGCGATTTCGATATGTTCCTGGAAAACCGCATAAACGCAGCAGTGCCCTTTCTTCTATTTCAAATGCTGTACAAATTGGGGATGAGCCAGAATTCATTACCGGTGGAATGGAACTTGCGAAGCGTCGTAATCAGGGAACAAGATCAGCGTCATATCGCTGTGCCTCAAAACCGTCTTCATATCTTACTGCTCTTTACGGTCAGTCCGTTAAATCCCTCGGCACTGTCAGGAATAGCTTCAAACCGCCTGTAAAAACCGATTGCGTTGAACATATGCCAATCAGCACGAAGCCTGTCTCTAGTGAAGACCATTCTCAGTTGGCGGAGAGCAGTTCCGAAGCCACAACTTCAGGGAATGAGACAATCAGAAATTGTGACCCAAAGCTGATAGACCAGATCTTGTGTGAAATTATTCATCGACAGCCGTCGGTGACTTGGGATGAAGTAGCTGGTCTGGAATCAGCAAAGCGAGCTATCAGAGAAATGGTGATTTGGCCAATGCTTAGACCGTAAGCTCTAAATTTTTTGCTGTTTTGCTTTACGCCTCAAATTTTTATTTCTTTTACGCGATGATCTCATGTATAACGAATTTTTTCATCGAATTTCAATTTGCACTCTTCTGTTTTGATTTTTGAATCTGTCAGTTTCATTTTTAGCGATATATTCACAGGGCTGCGCGCTCCTTCTAAAGGAATGCTTTTGTTCGGGCCTCCTGGCACTGGAAAGACCCTGATCGGCAAGTGCATAGCTAGCCAATGCAAAGCTACGTTTTTCAGTGTCAGCGCCAGCTCCCTAACTTCAAAGTGGGTAGGGGAAGGTGAAAAACTGGTCCGAGCACTGTTTGCGGTTGCTAGGGACCGTCTCCCTTCAGTTATATTTATCGATGAAGTCGATTCTCTGTTGACCCAGCGGTCTGATGGCGAACACGAGTCCAGTCGACGTTTAAAGAACGAATTTTTTTCGCAGATGGTACGGGCATCATCGAGGTTCGATTTACGCATGTCATTTTCATTTAGGATGGCTTGGGTATATCAAAGGAGGAAAGACTTTTAGTAGTGGGAGCAACAAATAGGTAAATATACAGTGGAAAGGATTCTGACGTTTCTTTCTTTTTTAGACCTCAGGAACTGGATGAAGCTGCGCGACGTCGATTTGCAAAGCGGTTGTATATTCCCTTACCAGATAAAACGGCACGTGTTGAAATTGTACAGCATCTGTTGCATAATCAGCGTCACACTCTTACTGACTCAGAAATAGCAACTGTTGGTGATTTGACAGATGGTGAGTTTAGTCTTACACTGTTCATCACGTCTGATCCTATTTCTCAGTTTTTCGATCTATTATTCAGACATGATTATGCATACTAATAATATTTCTGCATATAAAATTGAGGAAACTGCTTTCACGTATGATATTTAATTTAATATCAAGTAAACAAATTCAAATACATATACGTCTCTGCCGTATTTATAGATGTATTCTTTCGCTTCACAGTTCTGTGTTAAAATCAGATACATGGCCTTACACCGACGTAAAATTAAGTTTCGGTTCTTCATCTTCCATCGCCGCTTCTCCTTTCAGGTCGCGGAGGCAGAAACGTCAGACAGAGCTTCTAGCGTTCCCGATCCTGTGCCATAAGTTCGAGCTTCGGCAAAAGACAAATGCAGTCTGGAACAGACTCCTTCCACATGTATGCACAAGGTTAATCTTCACCGTCCGCTGGGCTTTCTGCCGGTCAGATTTGCAAGGAACAGTTGCTTAGCCTTCCTTTCTGGAGGCACTCGCAACACATGCCC